GGCATTCTTGATAATCGCCCCCAGATTATGGAACGGCCTACCAGACGAGATCCATCAGATTACAATGCTAAACAGCTTTAAAAAGGCTGTTAAGATGGATCTCTTCCAGCAGGCCTTTCCAGAATAGACTTCCCAGCCTCAGGGACTTCTTTATTCCGCCCTCTCCCATCCTGGATCCTGCTGCTATTCTGTTTGCTTTATTATATTATTGTTGTCTCTGACTTGGTTTTTATTGTATGTCATTTTAATTAAGATGTTTTAATAGTTTTTGGTTTAATACTTTTTTAAGGGGTGGGTGGGTTTTGGGCCTCTTGTGGATTTGTATTGTATGTAATTTTAATTGTTTATAGCCACCCTGATTGTTCACAGAGGGGTGGGGTACTTATTATTATTATTGATTGTAGGCAGATCTCCATGTTCTGAGGCTGAGGTTACTCCTGCTACCTATCCCTTTAATACAGAGTTGGCGATGCAAGGGATTTAGCCCAGGGTCCTTTTCACACCTACCACCCTTCCAATTCAAGATCCTGAGTTAGGTCAATTTTTTTTTTCATCTTATGCATAGCTATTCAACAGTTCTCTGCTGGCACCAATGAAAGCCATCCTTAGGAAATCCAACCATTTGGAATGAGTTTTCAAAGTCTTTCATCATAGTTAGAAAGCCAGTGGTTCTGTCCCTAGCAGGACAGTTTTAATCAGCTATTTTGTTTTAGTACAATTAGTACAGTCAAATTTTATAAGGATAGGAGGCTTCTTTCCTTCATTATCATGGAGTTCCTTTCTGTCAACACTCCATCTCCATATGAGGAAATCAGCTTCAGCTATTGCAGTCCTCAGATGGTACAAAAAGGACTTGTTGGATTTTTACTGGGCTACATGATCTCCTTGATCTTTCTATATAAATCTGAACAACTAGCACTGAAAGCATCATCTCTGTACTGTGCTTATTTCTTTTGTCTAAATGTGTTCATGTATATGCATGTGCACTGACAGGGGAAATTATGGTGCATTGTGATCACAGCGTCAAAAGAGAAGGATTAGGCCAAGACTGTGGAATGTGTGGTCCTTTAGATTTTGTACTGCAACTGTCACCACCCTTCATTGTCAGAGATGCTAGCTAAAGCTGATGGAAATTGCAGTTCAACAACACCTGGATAGCCACATGTGTTCTCACCCCTGGCTTAAAGTTAATTTAAAATAAAACAGAACCATTGGAACTTTATTTTGAAATAAAATTAAAAACACAGTGAAAAGAAAGTGCATATAAAAACATAAGAACATCATTATTGAAATCAATGATCATATGTAACTCATTAAATATTGTATCACACAATCTCCCATTTTTGCTGTGTTGCATAATGCAAATGTCTCTTCAATAGCATGATCAGGCTGTTGCTGATCCCGCACGCTCTCTTCCACCCTCATCAACACTGCCTTTCTGCCCTATGCCCTACCAAGAGTGCCTTTTGGGGGTTTTGTGCATGTAATTTTGTGATTTTTTATACAATTCTGGATTTATGCTAATACAATTTAACAATTTAAACAATTTAACAAAGTAAAATGATTTTAAAAAAAAAAAACAGGCTGTCCTGGGAATCTGAGGGGGAGAGAGGTAGAGGCACTGACATACATGACTGCCCATTCCTGAAGCTGCTGTGGGAAGGGTGACCAGATGTCCTAACCACAAAGGAGGACAGGAAACCACAAAATGTAGGGCATTCAAGAAAAATGTACAACATTACCAAATAAAAGCTAAAAACACTATTATAAATATAAATTCATTTCATATGGTTTGTTTACAGTTACATTACATATATTGTATTTTCTTATGTACTCAAACATATTTTGCTGATGAACTTATCTTTGCTAAAATGCCTTGTTGGTTTGCAATATACTTACAGAACTCTGAATAAAACAAATGCTTACAATTTACTTTACTAACAACAAACCCTTGACTGAATCAACATTTACATTATTATTTTCATTTGTAGTCTTCCATTTTCTCTCTCATCCCTCCTGCTTCTTCTTCAACCCAAATCACACATTTTTGCTCCCTGCTGCCCCTTGGTGCTGCTGATCTGCTTCAGTAACTCAGATCCTCCTTTCCGTTCCACACCTCAGTCAGAAAAAAACAAACAAAACTACCATATGGACAGTGTCAGTCTTCTCTGCAGCCTGTAACTAATAAGCTTATCGCATGGCACTTACAAAAATGAGAATGGAAAGAAACAGAACAGGGCAAAACAGATGTTACTGGACAGGAGAACGCTACCAATGCCACCGGGAGTCCCCAGGCTGTTCCCGGCAGCTGATTTTTGAAGGATCATTCAAAATCGTCCTTCAAAAATCGGCAGCCAGGAATGGCTTGGGGACTCCCAACGGCATCGGTGGCATTCTCCTGTCCAGTAACGTGTTTTTGCCCCATTCCATTCCTTTCCTCTCCATTCCCATTCCTGTTCCTTAAGTGCTGTGTGACAAGCTTATATGAAGCCGTTTGCAGCAGCCGAGGCAGTAATAAATCTGTTGAGCTACCTCTTGCTTGCCTGATGGGATGACAAAAGGACAGGTCTTCTGGCTCAAAATAGAGGATGTTTTGCAATTTCTCCCAGACCCCCAGACATAAGGTTGAAATGTAGGACATGTCCAGGAAAAGGAGGACCTTTGGTCATCCTGGCTGTGGGAGTAACTTATCACACCTGAGGACTAACATTCAGCATAAGTGGGAGTTTATTGACAGGTTTTCCAACCACGCATTTATACTTGAGTGGAATCTAATCAGAAGCTTAAAATGCAATGCCTTTTAGGTCAAAACAGAAGCAATAGTGTGGAGAGCATGGACAAAAAGACAAGGAAGCTGTCACCTAAACCCACCAAGGAACAATGCTATAGTGGAGTCACGACTTTCCAAGCCAGAGTACCAAGATTTTTTTTTTTTATTAGCAAAGACAACATCAGCACCCTCATTCCACCTGAGATATGCTTCTTCTTTTTTAATTTTATTAAACATTTAAAAACAAACACATTTGAAATATCTTATTCATACAATCATCACTCTACATAATCACACATACCGA